AGATTGTCTAGGGTTAGCACGATACAGCCCCATCCAAGGCTCCCCACAATTCCATCTAGAAGCCCTTTCCAAGTAGTAGGTGTCAAATTTTATAAGGTTCTGTGGATTTTTCATGATTATTATTTATTCTGATTAAAATGGATTCTTTCTGACACCACTTTTCATATTTTGGCTTAGGAAATATGTGATTTAAAGGAGAGAAGCTCAAAATTCAAGAGTGTCCTGGCCCAGCAGGGGTCTTTGCACCGTGCTGGGCTGCACCTCAGGATGCAGGGGCTGCGCTTGACTTCATTCTCTTTCCCAAATACTTGTCCACAGGCTGCTGTGGGTCCTCAGAATGTGGACATCTATTGGAGGGCTGATAGAATTTACCTCAGACGAAGCTTCTGCTGTGAGCCACAGGACCTGGTGAATTCCAGAAGAGAAGATCCGCCAGGTGACCCAAGTCTTAAAGGAGGTCAAGGCTCCATGGGAACTGGTGTGGGGAAGGCATCCTGTGCACAGGGCACTGCAGATGTCAGATGCACAGCCATGAGGGGCATGCTGCCCCCACCGAATCTGTTTCTGAGAGTGAGAGGGTAAGACAGTGCCTCTGCAGCCCCAGATGCCATTTTCATGGAAAATAGCATTGCTGTGAAAGAAAATCACCCTAAAAGAGTCCCTTGGTTGCAGCCCAGAGGCAGCTGCCCAGCTGTGCAGGCAAGGCCAAGCCAGGAAAACATTCCTCCCTGGCTGCCCAGGGATGGAGAGCACCCTGGGGGAAGGTTAACACAGGGCATCATCATTAGCATTGGCAGACAGAAGCCTTCTCCCCGGACCCAGGCTACTGCCTGATCTGCTCTAATGCTGGGAACTGGGCTGATTACCACTGAGCAACTTCACGGGCTGCCGCACAGCCCCAGCAGGAGGCTCCTGGACCCCAGACAGGTTCTCTTCTCTGTTCTTTAAGCTTACAGTCTTAGTTTCTCATGGTGCTTTTCATGCATGATGGAGAACATTCATGTGCACCTCGCTTATTTGCTTTGGGTATTATTATTCCCACATCTCCTGTAACAAGAGAAAACTTCAAGAGACCAAATTTACCTTGTTGATAGGTGGAGGAGCTGGGATCAGAAACTATTTTTGATTGTATCTCTTTCTGCTCTCTTTATCCTGAGACGGGGGAGGAAAGGAAGAAAAATGACTTCTCAATTAGCTTACATGTGCGAGGCACCACCCCTATGCTAACTCATGTTACTGAAAATGCTCTTTTTTCAGGTGAAGAAACTGAGGCCCAGAGAAGCTAAATGATATACCCAGTTTTGCCTAGCTCGTGAGTGGTGAGCTGAGTCTTGGCCCTTAAGCTGTCAACTGTATCTCCCCTCTTCCTATGATGTCCTCACCTACTTTGGGGCTGGGGAATGGATTAGGTTCCTTATTGATCCTAACCTCTGGGCGTTCAGACAATACCATATGTAGCTTGCATAATTCTGTAGCTCCTGTTCCTCTTCCTTCCTGTCCTTGTCTCCCTACCCTTCTTCCCGTCTTCCTCTCCTCCTCCTCCTCCTCTTCTGTAATTATGCTACGGCACTGCTATGTCTATATCCTATTTCTTGTGTTCATTTTATTCCAATTTGCCAAATTAATTCAGGTCAAAATGTCCACTTGAGCTGTAGATTAGCTGAATAATTGTGTGGACCTCACTCTGGCAGCCCCTTCAGGGAGCCCAAGCCAGACTGACATCCCTGCACCCGGGGGCACAGCCCTGCCGGAGGACAGAGCCCTGGCTGGTGTGGGGTATTGACCCTTGCCTGGCCCCTGACAGTAGCTGACATGCAAGGGAGAGCCAGGGAGGAAGCTGGGTGCCATGAAGACATCAGTTCTCCCCCTGTTAATGTATGAGTTAGAATTTTCCTCAAACTGATTGTTTTTCAGAGAGCGAGGAAGATCTGAAAAGTTTTAAGTGAAGGGGAGAAGGATAAGCGAGGATTGTGACAAGTTGAGTGATAGTTCTTGATTTGCTGTACCTTAGAACACATTGTAAATCTGTTACTCTCTTTCCACTCAGCCTCATCTCTAAAGGGTTCCACACCACCACTAGTGCTGTGATTACAGTGAGTGGACTTCGGGAAAGCCATGTTGAAATCATAGCACCTCTGAAATGGGCCCACAGATGAGAAGCAGTGACTCGGATATGAAGAAAGAGAGAGGGCTGGTGGGCTTGGGAGAACGTAGGATACAAGCTGTGTGAGTGCTATCAATGTGGCAGAACCTGTGAAGCAGACGGGGAGGCAGAACATTGAAGCATTAATGATGACTAACAGTGGCTGGTGGGTTACCCGTGATCTTCTTTTCCCACTTTATTCCCTCCTGGGAAATCAAGCCACCCCATTTTACTTTTTACATTTTACTTTGTTCTCCTGCCTGTCTCCTCTGCTGCCCCAGTGAGTCCTCAGGCTTGGCTAGCAGCAGTCAGCTGTGGGAGTGCAGTGCACACGAGGTGGTCATGGCGGGTCCACTGGCTTCAAGCAAAACCGTGGATCTTGTCAGGAAAGTGCCCAGAGCAATGAGGGAATGGGAAGGGCGTCCTTCCCTCCCACAGAGAGAAGTTGAAAATGGTGTTTTCAAGGTGAGTCCTGCTTGGGATAACTTGATGTTTTCATTTTGGTTTTGATAGAAAAGCTGTCTCTGAATTAAGAGCAGCAAGAGCCCCTACCTGTTGCGAGTGATGCTAGAGGGCTGTGGAGGAGGGCAGCTTTCTGAGCCTCTGATGGGAGCCAGATATACTCTCCCCAGCCGACTGCTGCCCATGACCTTCCTTCCCATGCCCCCCGGCAATGCTCCCCCATACTAAACAGCTCTAGAATGGAGAAAACACTCCTTTCTCTCCTTAAGCCCAATATCTTAGGGCAACTCTCAGGGCCACTCACGAGTTCACAGACCCTAAAATTTGTCCCTGTTTACCTGGTCCTCCATCTGGAATATATTTCCCTTCCCACAGCTGATCAGAGAAAGCCTACCCCTGTTGTAAAAATCCTGACAAAATCTACCCATCTCTGGGATCTCTTCTGATCATCCCCATTCAAACAAGTGTTTTTCTCTAACATATCTGGCCTTGCTGTCAGAAATGCTCATGTGACATTTACTGCATTTTGCCCTTTATTGCCAGTTATTTGATACTGTGTTTGCAACCCTCCTCTCTGTGAAATTATAACACTATTCTCTACTTAGAAGGTCACCCACTCCCTTCTCTATCTGTGAACTCCCTCTAAACACTCTGAGGGCCAGCTCAAAAGGCATCCACTGTGTGTTTTTAAGGAATCTTGACTCATGTATATGCACTAAATGTACTTCCTGCAAGGCAAGGGGCCATATCTGGTTGTCTTAGCATCCATCAAGGTGGCTAGCAAGGTGTCCAGCAGGTGTGCAGCTGGATGCTGAGTCAATGAGTAAGTGAGTGAACGGAAGAAAGAGAGTGGAGAGTTTTGGCAATTTATTTAGATGAATTGGACATTGGCTGTGTTATACCTTTGCCCATATTGCCCATTATGTGTGCCAATAACTTTATTATCACCATTATTACTCAATACTGTCATCTCTAGCTGAAGTCTGTCAAATATTGGAAGGTGCTTGGTCTGTTTATCTCTCATCCTTGGCTAGAAGAAGTTTCTTCTGGAGCTTCTCTGACCCATAAAGGAAGGCCCTATGTCAGTACATAGCAAAGTCATCTTCTGCCTCTGCAGCAGGATCCCTTGACTGTGACCAGCTGCTGTCCTCAAGTGGTGCTTTTATGAAGATGTGACTTCCACCTAGGCCTTTGTGCCATGTGAGAGTCTCAGGTGCAGCAGCAAATGCCTGGGTCACCTTCCAGTCTCGCCTCCTGTGTGACTCATTCATCTGTGGGCCAAGGAGACATGATCAGAACAGAAGCCAAAATACCTGAATAATCCTAGGGGTGCAGAACCTATTGCCAACCGGGAGTTCCTGTTTACCCCATTGATTGCCTGTTAGGACAGGGCTCCAGGCTCTGGACCCGATTTCAACCCCAGGGGTTTATCCTATACATTTCAGCAGGAGGTAGTGGCAGCTCCCTCCCTTCTTCTGCACAGAAGAGCTGTCTGTGCCTACAGCAGCTCCTCTAAGTACCTTAGAAAAGAGGAAGGGAATGAAACAAATGCCCAAACTCCAGCTCAGCAGAGCCATGCAGTCCAGTTGGCTGTATTTGTCCTGACAAGATCTGTCCCTTGTTTTTCCCCAAGTAAAGCAGTTCTTTTGATCTCAATAACTCTCTGAGTGAAGCCTGGCATGGAGATAATTATTTTTTTAAAGTTGCTGAGGCATCATTGCTCTGGCGAGCCCTCACCTCTGAGAGGGTGGATCTTGCTAAGAGGAAGTATCCCAGGCCATTGCCTCTGTGCTTGGGGCAAGAGGCTCTGGCTGTGAACTTGCTCAGGAGGTGGAGAGGTGAGGTACATGCAGGCACCCCACAGTGTCCCAGCCCCCAGTCCGCCCGGCTGGGGGGATGGGCATCACATGATGGGTTTGCATCAGTCTTTTGCTAAGAAAGCTTGGTGGGTGATTGACTTGTAAAGGACCAGGGGTAGATCCAGTGCCACTCAGAGAAGGGGATAGGAGGGTGTGGAGGGATGGGGGGCAGAGTGGGAGATGGCACTTGTTTTTTTCTTGTATCAAATCCATCATCCTGCATAGTGAAGCAGGTGACCAAGTACCTCTGGGGCCAGGGAAGATGAGAGGATAGATTTCATTCATTGTGTAGTATGTCAGGCTGATTCTAGAGCTGGTCTTATCATGAGGGGTTCACTTTCCTTGACCCTAATCAGGATATGGCTGCCAGGGGCCATCCTTGATCAGACAGAATTCTGCAGCCAAGGCCATGATTCTGAGCCAGCACTGGTTTCTGGCTGGGACACCCATTCTTCTGCCTATGTTGTTTCCTCTCCACAGAGCTCTAAGTGTCGCACAACTCTGCGGTAGAACAAGGTCTTGCCTCCTTGTCCTGGGAAGCTCCTCCAGTCTCCCTGGAATTCTGGTGCTCCAACTGCTGGATGAGGTGGGGCTGGAGGTCCATCCAGCTCTCCAGGCTGAGCTCCTGCATCTCTTTCCTATGGTGGGTAGCCCTAGCTGCAGAAGTACGGCAGTGTCAGGACCAGCCGCCTCTCCCTGAACATCGGGCAGAGTCTGCTGTCCTTAGTAGACAAGGCACACCCTTGCTCCCAGGAAATCCAGGCCCACTTTGGGAGTGACATTTTATTTTACACTTTCTGAGCCACTTTGCAGTTCCAAGAGAAGAAACGGAGCCCAGCCTTGGTAACAGGTATTGGGCTGGGCACTGGGCTATGAGGCTGGAGGGTGCAGAAGCTCGGCGGGTGGACAGACCCTGGCAGAACCTGAGAGGAGTGCCTAGGGTGCACTTGGGTGGGGTGGCTTCTGTGGCCTCTGGGATTTAAAGTTTCTACCCAAGCCAAGAGAAACCTTCTCTAATCACCTAGAGATAAGAAAGCATCAGATCTAATCTCTCCCTAAATTTCCCCCTAGGCTTTTGCTGTTCTTTGCTCTAGTCCCAAAGCCGCATTAGTGACAGCTAAAGCTCCTTTATAAATGGTCTGTGACTTCAGAGGTCTGTTCCATGATGGAGCCATCTATTTGGGCAATTGAAGGTGGAAAGGGACACTCAAAAGCTTCTGGAAAATTCCTGATGGGATTGTGTATATGTTCTGTCTCTGCACTCCAATCAACAAATTAGATGGCCATAGGGCCTAAAAACAACAGAAGGAAGCAGTTTTCTGAATGGTTCATTGCAGTCACAGCCTTTCTATCCTCTGGGTCCCTGCAAGCTGGATAGACTTCATGAGCCTATTCCATGGGAACACTGGTGAAAGCTTTGGGTCTTTGGTGACTATTCATGGATCTTGCCTTCAACGGGTTGTAGCAGATTGGCTCTCATGTCCACTGCACCGCCCTCTGAAAGTTTGTCTGGGGACTGGTTCTTACCACCTGCCCTGAGGGAGGAGAGGGTGATGGTGGGAGGAGATGATGGGTGGGAAGAGGTAAATGGTGGGTGAGGAGAAGGAGATGGTGGGTGAAGAGAGGGAGATGGTGGGTGAGGAGAGAATGGTGATAGGTAAGGAGAGGATGATGGTGGTGAGAAGAAGGTGGGTGAGGAGAGAATGGTGATGGGTGTGGAGGTGGTGGGTGAGGAGAGGGTGATGGGGGCCTTTCCCACTCTGATAATGGCTTAAGGAAATTATGAAAAAGAAAGAGAGGCAAAACATGCTTTATGTATAGACCCTGTCCTTAAGAGCTCAAATGATGTAGGGCCTGGAGACAGGATCTGCAGAGGGAAGTCTGGCTCCAGGGAAGGCCCCTGTGTCTTCAAGGACTCCCCCATTGGGCAGGGCCGGGAGAACCAAGCAGGAGCAGCATGATCTGTGCTCCCATCTGACTCAGTGCACAGGAGTGACTGCCCTATGGTGTGCAGAGAGCTGGCTCTGATGGACCGGTTCTGTTCCCTGGGAAGAGCCATGACAGGGGAAGCTTGCGGTAGACAGCAGTCCTCAGTTCTTCTCTGACAAATTTTCCCCTGGGCCCTTCTCCCTTTCTCTCTTTCAGGGGTGGGCATTGCAAAGACCTCTTCACGTTTGTCTTTCCTGTGGATGTTTCCACAAAATTTACCTCCACTTTCTGCAAGGTTAGACTTCTTTTTGTTGTTGTTGTTGTTGTTGTTTGTTTTGTTTTGTTTTGGTACCTGGGGTCGAACTCTGGACCTTTCACTTGAGAGGCAGGTGCCAGAACCACTGAGCTAAATCCCCAGCCCTTAGACTTCTTTGAATTGCAGGACACTCTTGTTCTAAGGATAGCACAGAGCATAGAGTAGGAAGCCTCCCTCAAGCTATGCTGTGAACACCACCCTCTCTCTTCTCTCCTGACAGCTGGGCTGCCCTCCATCTAGAATCAACACTGTCAGAAAAAAACCCATCCTCCTTCAGCCTCCCCTGTCCACAGCTGCCTTCTGCAATGCATCCCCACATTTGGCTGGGGGCTCCTCACCTCCTGCTTGACCAGGCCTGGCTGTCCCTCTGTGCCAGACACTAATCCAGGCCTGCGCTCCTTGAAGGCTGCAGCCAGATTAATCGTCACAAGGTTTTGCTTTGATGATATCACTTTATAGACACATAAAAAAAAAGTGTTTAGGCAGTCAGTCATGCTAAATCTTAACCATCTTTACAGATTTTTTAGTGCAGCTCATCAAAATTGTCACCAGCCCTGAAGATCCCACATTTACGGTTCATGACAGTTCCTCAGCAGGAGTAGCAGGTACTTGTCTGGGTCTGTCCCCACACAGCCATGGACAACTCTGCCCTCTGCCCTGGTGCAGGCCTCCTGGGCACTACCTGGAACTTGTGATCACTTCCTGCTCACTCTGCTCGGGGGCATCTGCAGTCACTCCCTGTAGCCAGCCCTCATCTGCAGCAGCAGAGAACTCCAGCAGTCAGTGCCGTGGGCTCAGGTAGCTGGGTGGGAGGAGGCTGGGGTCCCTGGGGGCTGGGTTGGCAGCGATGGACAGCCTTCTGCTGCAGCTCCCAACCGACAGCATAGGGCAGTTATGCCAACTCAGGAACTGTCCCTGACTTTTGATGGTTTATCTCATGCTTCTTCAACTTTATGATGGTACGGAAGCCATGCATTTGGTAGAAGTATAGTTGGAATTTTGAACTTGCTTCTTTTCCCATGCCAGAAGCATGTAGTTCTACTGACATTCTTTTACCAGGCTGGGGGCAGCGGGGAGTCACAGTGCCCAGTCAGCCCCTTGACCAAAGAAGAAACGGTGGGCACACAGTGTGCCGTGTGGCCAGCCGAGGGTGGCAGGAGGCTGGGTGACCTGATGATATTTTGACATAAAGGATTTCTCAGCACATAACCACATAATAAGTGAGGAGCCAGGGCCCACAACTTTGAGTTATGAAAGTTGGGTTATGGATGTTTGTTTATTGTTAAAGGGCTTAATGTTGCTGCTGTGTCTAGTAATAATAAAAAGACTAGATTCTAAAGAAATAAAGACACTGGGAAATAAAAGAGTGTCATGGGCTCTGGAACCAGATTCTTTGAGTTTAAATCCTAGCTCCAACACTGGCTGGATGATCTTGACCCAGTCAATTAACCTCTTTAGGCCTCAGTTTTCTCACATGTAAAATGGATAAAATTGGAATCAAGTATTACAGATTTTTGGTTTGAATAAGTGACATAGAGCCTGGAAAGTGCTCAGAGGGCACTTGGCACTCAGTGAGTGTGCAACTGTGACCCGGCCTCCTGATCTGACGGCTCAGGGTACTATGGTGTGGCATGGGCATCCTGGTGGTGGAGTGGGCCATCTGGATTGGGGTGCTGACCACTGGCCCTGTGTGTCTTGTTCTGAACTGGCCTCCTACATTCTGCTTGCATTAGTCTGCCATCCCATCTGCTGGTTGTCTTCCTGGGATGTCACATCTAGGCCTTACCTGGGCATATGTCATACCTCTCCTTGACCCACAGCAACACCTGTGCAGTCCCAATCCCACAGCAAGCCTGACCTCACTTCCATGGGCCTCAGGAAGATTCTGCAACTGAGAACATGGTCGCGTCATGGCCTTGGATCCCCAAGGACTTAACCTTTTAATGGTTTACTTGGTACTTTGTGTATGACTCCTATTAAGCATTATCAGTAGCAGCAGCAACGGTGAGATGTCTGTGCCCTCATGGTGTGGAAATGCATTTTTCCAGCTAGTCTGTTCACTCTTGACTAAATGGCCTTTGTTCTCTCTCAACCCTGAAGGGTGTCTTGTGGTTGTATGTTACCTGCAAGTTCTGTCTAATGGGTGCATATCCATTCCCCTGGCCTGTGCATGCCATGTGGAGGCCACTGGGGACTGGAATGATGCTGGTCCACCTGGGCACTGCCTGGCAGCTTAACATCAGCTCTGCCTTTGCTCTGCCACCCCCCACACCCTGAGTGTTCCACTTGTGGAATGATCTGAATATTCTCCTGCCTCTCATACTCCTGAACAGTAGAGGAAGAAGGGCTCTCTGCCTTCTTCATGTTGTGGGGAAAATGCATGAAGCAGTTAACCAGGGCCAAGAAGATAAACCTCCTTGGCTGCATTGGGCGAGACATGACTGTAGGAGGCACGGGCCTCTCCATGTGTGCTTTTGGTCTCTGGGCTCCGGAAGGCCACAGCAGGGAGATCTATAGCCTCCATACCTTTGAGGGGTAGTTAAGACGTCACTGGTTCTGCTGTGCATCACAGCCTCAGCCTGTGCAGACAGCTGGCATTTCTGTGCTGTTAAATAATTAATTTGATACCACGTGGAGTAAAACATGCATTGCTCTTGATAAAAAGCTGCGATTAATTGCTTTCATTTCAGCAGTGTACTGCATCTTCTGGAGAAGATAAGAGAGATAGAATGTGGGCTTGAAAGCTAAGCTGAGATATTCTCATAAAAGGTGACAAATGCCCCCCCTTCATATCCAGTTGGATCCTCTCAATTATGCATTATAAGGGCTACTGGCTATCACCTGGTCTTTGTCCATGGCTTCCAGTGACTTAGGACAGGGACCCAGGCTCCTGCTCCTTGTTGATGCGTGGCATGTGATCAGCTGCCTCTCGCCTGACTCTTGAGATAGAGGAGGGAGCAACATTGGGCAGCTTTTCTGATGCCGTGATTGGAAAAAACTCTGAGTCATCACATACCTGCTTTCCAGACCTTGCAGAGAAGGTCTGGTGTTTACTGCAGGAAGCTGTGAAAGCCAGGGACATTCATGGTGGCCTGAGATGTCAACAAGTACCAGTGACAAAGGGAACTATAGTCTCCCAGTGTTTTTCACTGCATGGGTTAAACCTAATGACAAGGCTGTCATTTGCTGTTGTATCACCTCTCCCCTGGACATCCATTTCCTTGAGGACAGAGCCTGTCCTTTCTCTCTTGTCTCTCAGTGCCCAGGCATCTACCACCAAGTGGGCTGGTGTGGAGGTCATGTGTTGACCAGGCCTCCCAGTGTTGTAGCCCCAGTAGTAGCTACTCTGAGAATCATTTTGAGTGGATGGTGATAATCAAGAAGGTCATCTAGGCAGGTATTAACTGGTGGAGGTTGGATACAGGATGGACTCACTATTTATTTTAGGGGTTGGAGGGCTCACCCTTTGGTGAGGGTGAGTAGAAGTCTTCAGGTTTTCTTTGGCATTCTGGGAATTGCCTGTCTTAGTCACTTTCCTTATTGCAAGGACAAACTAACTGACATCCACAGCCTAAAGATGGAGAGGTTTGTTTTGGCTCATGGTTACAGTCTATGGCTGGCCAGCTCTAAGGTAGAAAACAGTATGGCAGAGAGGCATAAAGGAGGGAGCTGCTTATGTCATGTTGGCCAGGAAGCAGAGTGAAGGGAGGAGCCAAGAAGGGAGATACTGTATATCCTTCCAGAATATGCCCTCAGTGACCCACCTTTCCCCATGCCCCACTTCCTAACAGCAAGTCAACTGTAGCACACTGACCGCCATCTTGTATTCTTTACCCTATGACACGACAAATAGCCCCTGGCTCTTCCATTTCTGATCCTGAAAGACCCTTTAATCAATCCCTTGTGTAACTATACACATATTTCATATAGACGCTGTTCCTCTAGTGAACCCTAACTAATACGCCCTCCTTGTGAGGGCTCAGGAGTAATTGGTTCTCTTCACTCCTCTTCCAACAATTCATATAGCCCAGACTAATGTGTTTAATTGTCTCACCTCTACTTCTCATGGCTTTTATAATGTGGATGGTGTGCTCTTTTCTACCATTCAGCTTTGATTTTCAAATCTTCCCTCTTTCCAGAAGCTTCCCAAGATTGACCAAGTGAGCATCCACAGCTTCCCTGGCCCCAGTGAATGATGGGCATGCTCATAACCCCACACCCAGTGTGTTCCTCTCATTGTAGTTTTGATATTAAATGTACTATTGTTGAATTACTTTGGTCCATTATGGGTCACCCTCCCTGACCTACAGATTAATTTTAAAATGAAAGATCTTTATGACACCATTAACAGAGCTGACTTAGTTCCTAGAAAGTCAATCATTCATCCACGCATGCACCTATTTATCTACTTATCTATCTGTCATCCATCCATTGATTCACTTATCAATCCATTGATCAATTGATCCATCCATCCATCCGCCCAATATTTATGTAATGTTCACTACATACCAGGATCTGTTTCAGTAGAAGGGATATAGCTGTGAACAATACAGGAATAGTTCCTGTCCTTAAGGGGATTGCATTTTAGTTATTTTGGTCCAGTAAGAGAACTAACATTTTAAAAACTCTTATTGAGTTTAACTCAGTTACTGAGTCTATACTTTTTAAGTATACAGTGTCATTACATTCATCACTGGGATCTTGTACCTTTACATGACAGGTCTTGGTTCTCATTTTTTCCCTATAACCTTGCCCTCCCTTCACCCCCCCTCCCCTATTTATAAAGTCTTTGTTTCCATTTTTTCCTTTTGTCATACATTTTTCCCTTATTTCCTTTCCTTTACCCTTCCCACTTTCCCTACACCTTTAGCTCTTTTTTTTCTTCGTATTTCACATTATCAGTTATACAATTTGGACCTTATTTACACTTTTAGTTTTTCACACCAGAGAAACTATTTGGTATTTATACATGTGTGTCTTATTTATTTTACCTAAGAGTATGGTCTCAATATGCATCCATTTTCCTATGAATGACTGTAATTTATCATTCTTTATGGCTTATTAGTAGTCCATTTTATAGAAAAACCACTTCTTTATCCAGGCTTCAACTGATGGGCAATTGGGCTCTTTCCAAGTTTTGGCTATTACAAACCATGCCACTATAAATATGGGTGAGCATATATCACTGTGGTGTGATTCTTCTGGAAAGATACCAAGTAGAGGGATAGCTAGATCAAATGGAACCTTTAATTCTAGTTCTTTGAGGTATCTCCATACTGATTTTCACATTGGTTGCACCAGTCTGCAC